ATAGAGTTAAAGGTTGTATAAATATTCGAAAAAGATTACTATTTACATAAGAAAAAAAAAAAAAATTCTGAAAAAAATAAATCATAACTCACTTGTTGCAGATAAAACTTTGTGGAGACTATAATCATACGGTCAATACAAAATAAAAATTAAACATTGTTTTAATATATTAGTAATTTTGAAGGTTAGTTGATTTTAATTTAAAATTGTTTAAACCTTTTAAAAAATCTAAGATTATACCTAACCTAACATTTTAATATAATTATCAAATATATTTTAATTAAATTTTAGCATATTTTGTATAAACTGTTTTATTTTTTCTACACAAAAATACAGATAATACATCAGTATATTTAAAATACTATTGACATAAAATTACAACTGTTTTGGAATAATTTATAATATATAATATTTTTTTATGATATAGTTAATAACTCGTATTTATTAATTTAACATTGGCAATAGTTACAAGATTAACATAAAATAGGAATAAGTACGTTTTAGTTATTTAAATATAATTATTATGTATGAAAAAAAGATTTTTCTTTTGATTAATTATTCTTTTTTAAATGTGAATTTGAGTAGGAAATAGTACTTTTGACAATTCTGACGATGTTAATCGATTTCTCGATATTTTTTCATACCTTACTCTGTTACAAACAGCATGTTCTGGATTTACTCTGTTTAAATACAGTAAAAAATCTTAATAATAATAAATTATAAATTATAAGTTTGATGACAATGACGATTTATAAAAAAATAAGTTATTCGTAATATTTTACTTTAAAGATTTTAAATTTTTTGGATAGCATAACATTATATGGTCTATAAAGATATTTTAAATACTTAGAAAATAATAGTTACAGTTACCCAGATGAAAGTTAATACCATTATAAATATTATACGTTATACGTTTAAAATGAAATGTAGATATGCACACATGTAAGAAATTAATGTGTTTATTAAGTGGTAGCTTGATTAAAAAGTATAAATCACATTTTATATTTTAAAGTGTCTAGGTAGTAGGTATTATATTATAAGTAAAATATAAAAACTAATTTTATTAATAATATTTATCTTGTTGACATTTTATACTCATCTAATTCATTTATGTAGATTCACGAAAAAAATATTAACAATTGTGTATAAAAATTAATATAATATAAATATTAATTCAGCAAGTTTGTTTTGTTTACATTTATAATGAAGATTGCATTAAATAAAAACATACTTAGGTTGAAAAATAAATATTAATTACGGTGTCTGTTAACTCTATTTATATTAGTTTTTATTTATAGTTTTGATTATTACGTTGTAGGTACATTATTAGTGATAAAAATCACTTATGACAAACTAGAGAATAGAATAACTCATTTAGTTAATATTATATTATATTATATTATTCTAGTTGATTATAGTTTAAATTCTTTATGATTTACTTCATAAAAAATATAATACTAAATAGTTCTTTGTTTTTTAGTTAAAATATAAATCTAATACAATAATAAAATCAATTTGAAACTTATGTTCATAATTAAATAAGAAATGTTAAACGAAAATTAGCTATTAAGTAAGAAGATGAAATATGTGAATGAAAAAAAATAATAATTGAGGTAATAAAAATTAAGCATATCGACTGTGTGAGTTTATGAGACTGATATATATGTTTGCTTCTAAAAATGTTAGGTTTCTAACCTTTTCATAAATAGCATTATAAATCATATTCATTTCTAAAACACATCATAAAAAAAAAAAAAAATAAAACTATAAGCCTTTTCAAGATGTATTTCTAGTTCGTGAAATATAGTTATAAGTTTATGAATATTATGTATATTTAGTTTTTATTATTTCCTCTCACGTGGTTACTAAATATTAAGGATAAAATGAATGTTTTATAATTTTTAGGTTGAGGTAGATTTATGATGAATATAAAATAATTATAATTATAATTTCGAATATACGTGTAATTATAGTTATAAAATGTTTTGTATGGCTTACACAAATAATCAAAGGTGTTTTAATGTTTTCAAAAAGGGTTTACTGAAAAAAAAGCTTAATATAAAAAATAAAATATTATTAAAAAACTAATACATTTAAGTATTTATAAATACATGTAAAATTGAAAGAATAATGAAGAATTATTTTATAGTACCTATTTAAATACAATTATGATAAATATGATAAAAAATTTAAATATTTTATATTTACCCATAGTGTTCATGATGATAATGGTCGTATAAAACACATTGTTGACTATATATGTTAACTATAATTATTAAAATATTACTTCTGTTATTAATGTTTATTCAAAGAAAATATAATATGGGTTTTCAAACAATATTATATGAATAAATACACGCAATAATTAATAATAGGATGAGGAAATACATTGCAATAATTACCAATTATGATTTTGGACGAGGTAGTGCTATGATGTTTATTCAAAGAAAATAGTACGCAGAATATTATATAAAATTAATTATCATAATATAATACACTCCCTACTAATATTATTTTAAGTTATAGTTGGCTATTTTTTTACTTAATTAGTCATTTTAACTTATATTGTGGGCTTATTTTTGTACAGTTATAAATATTTATTTTTTTAGATCTATATTATGTATGACTATTATAACTGTATATGCTGTATGGTACATGATTTATGGCGAATAAATAAAATTGTATTCATTTAAAATAGTTTTAAAAAATAAAATGCTTAGAATTGTAGATAGTCATGTAAATATATATTTCTTTTTAAGTTATACGTATATTTTTTTTTTTTATATATTTGAAAAATGTTATTCAATTTATGTTGAATTTTTTTTTGTAATATTATTTATATCTATGTTTTCCTTCTAAACTGAACAATATTAAATAGTTTGCAAAAATGAACAACTATCATAAATTATTGACATGTAAACGTTATTTGGTAAAAATCTACAAGCAATATTTTCAATTTTAAAACATTTTTAGTGAATGAAAATATTCATATTATTTGCCAATCATAAATAATTGTTATTGTATACCGGTATTATACAGTTGTTGATTATAAAGAGCATAAAACACCCACAGATTTATAAAATGTATCGATTTCAGTGACAACAATATAGGTCGTTTTGAACTGCTAATAATATGATATTATATATTTCCAACTATGGCATTTTATTGATTAAAGGTGCTAATACATTATTATTCCAAGAATTAACACATAACAATTCGGCAAACAAATATTAATTTGAATTTAAATATTAAGCTGCCTTATTTGATTGTTGGGATTAATTTATTTTTAGATTAACGATGATTAAAAACAAAAGTAAATACACACTATTGTGTATATTATATTAATTTAGGAAATGAATATTGTTTTCATGTCCTCTTTATTTAAAAAAAAATGTTAATAATAATTCATTATGTCGATTACTAGAATCGTGAAATGAATTAATACAATTTGATTTTAATTTTGGTCCATATTCTTGATTTAAAATGTATTATATCTTTTATTAAAAATATATATATATATTTGTATTGATTGTTTTTGCTAAGATAATGTAGGTAGGTATTATATGATATAATAATATTCATTTTATCTTTTACCTTTTTAAACTATAAATTTCATTTTTATTTTTTATAGTTATTATAACTATACATTATTAGATTAAGTATTATTTTCAATAAAGAATATTTTAACTTAAAGCAATAATTAGCATAATTATTAACGTATTATTTCTCATACACAACAGTAATAAAATTTTATTATTCAACACTTTTTTATATAACAGATTGGTTTATTCTATGATCAATTTTGAAAGTCATTATGAACTATTACTCCTATTAATTGATATCTATACATGAAAAATAGTCAGACAATTTTGATTTTGATAATATGAAAAATTAAAGTATACTTTTTTATGTGTGCATTCATTTTAATATTTAATAAATTAAATTATAACTGAATATGATAATATTAAAATTATTAAAAACAATAGAAACTCGAAAGAATTGAAATATTTTATGAATTTGTGTATCTACGAATAATTGTTAGCAATAATTATATCCATCACTCTTTATAACACCCGAATCTTATAATGAATAAATGTTAAAAATTGTGAACAAGTCAAAAATAGAAAATGCTGATGAATAACTGGAATTAAAAAAAATTTATGTTTCACCTTTGAAAATATTTCCTGAATAATAATGTATTATATTTACTGTATGTTTAATTTAAACAATTATTTCAATGTTTCTCTATAAATCTGTTCTGTCTCAAGATGCGCTACCAAAGATTTTAGAAGTTCCCACGAGATTGTATGCTATGTTACAGCTCTCACAGAGAACTGTCGTATTTTATTGGTTTCTCTAGTAAATTTACTTTAAAATGATTTCGAACTACTGGACCACGAATTCACCAGACCAGATGACAATAAAGATCACTTAAGAGCCTCTCAAAGAAATAGTTCCCTACCATTTGTGTCTTATTATCTCTAATGAAAAAAAATAAAAAAAAATAATAATACAGTTTATGGGGGATTCTATTCTTTTGAATATAATGTTTTATTGTATTTTAAAGTACAATTCCATAATAAAATGAAAAAAAGTAATAAGTAAACGTATTAAAGTATTGTTTAATATTAAGTATTTTATTGACATTTATTATATAATTAATCATCATTTAAATAAAATATTTTAAAAATAATTCAAAATATAAATACCATGAATAAAAGTGATAGGATTACAAATTCAAGAAACTAATGTAAATAAAAATTAAATGTATTTGTAGTATTAACATTTTAAGGATAAGTATATTAAATGGGTATAATCACGCATTGTCATTAGTTTTGACATTAAATGCATTGACTAACATTAAGAATATATTATATTTATTAGTTGGGTATTCTTAACAAGGAAGTCTTCAAATTACATTATCAATAATGAAAACTGTTGAATTTTATATTTTTGACTGCTCAATTATAATAATGGATTTATAACTTTTATGATTTCAGTGATAATGACGGTAATTTTGTCCATTTTCACGGTGGTGCCTTTAATTATGTTCGTTGTTGGTAAGTTTCATATTATAGAGTATACCTTTAATTAAAGTAAATATTATTTAATCCCATTATACGAATGCATATGTATAATATATTAGTTATGAAAACAGAGTTTCAAGTATAATTTTCTGTGTACACCTATACAACTAATTTAAGTAATTTTAATGTATAATTTAATATTTTCATGTTTATATAATATTAATTATTATGATTTAACGAAAACCTTAACATTCTATATATATTTCTTCAATAAGTTTTGCTGTTGGTAATAAAATATGCAAGCATTATTGAAGGTTTATAAATTATAAACATGTAATCATTGTTAATAAAATAATGATCAATTATTAATTTTACCATATTTTTTTATAACATCCGTCGTTATTTGGTAACAAGTTATAATCATATTAAAGCACTACTTTATTTATATGATATTATTGTTTTATGCGTGGTAGGTACTTAAATAAATAAATAATTAATTATTTTTATATTTACTCAATTGTTTCTACAAATTATAAATGAATATCTGTATAAGTATATGAAGAAGTTGAACAGTTGTACAATTTAGTCAACTTCTAAATTGTATACTTAGATATTTTTCGCATGCTATTAATGTAACAAACACAACTTTTATTTTTTAATAAGAACATACAGTTTATTTATATAACATTTAATATATATATTATATGGAATAACAATAAATATTAAATATATATATTTTATTAAAAGAAAATCGCCCTCGAAAGCATTGGGGGGCATTAGGTTTACAAAATCATTATAGTGATACATCCTTGTAGTGAATACATTTTGTTTTTCATTAGGTTAGAATCAACCTGAGCTCCAATGTTAGCGGTGAAATTACGCCATGACGCGGTTTCGCTATTTTTACCAAGAATTTTGTTTTTGTTCTGAGCTCTCTTAATTTGATGTGGTCCTCAAGTGATCTAGTTCTTATGAACTTTTTAAGTGCTTTATTTATCAGTGGTATGTATTGTTTGATTTCATCGTTCCACTTCGGGACTTGTAGTTTTTTTTTTTTTTTTTTTTAATGTGATTTTGAGTAACTCAATATTTTTTCTGTTACCTCTATAATCGTGTTGGTGAATTTAGTAACGGTTTTTTTTTCTGTATCTGTACCGTAATTTGAAAATTCGGTTAGATTGATTAGGAATTTAATGTAAGTAGAGAAAAGTGACGAGTTGGGTTTTTTAAGTTTCATTTTAATATTTAATTGTTGATTTGATGTGAATTTGAAATAATTTGAATAGTGATTATGAGATGGTCGCTTTTGAATAGCTCAAACAGTACTTGCTAGTTAGGTCTTTGAGTTAAGGTGGGTGTGGACAATGTTAAATTGATAGTTGAGAAGTTTCTATTACTTGGGTTTATTCTTATTTGTTCATTATTATTAAGAATTATAATGTTATCTTGATCTAGTAACTTTTCTATTATTTTTCTTCTTGAATCATTTTTATTTGATCCCCATGTGGTGCTGAGGCTATTAAATTCTCCTTCTGTATGAAAGGTCGTGGTAATTATTTGATGATGTTTTATAATTCTTTGAGTGTAAAGTTGTATTAGTTAGGTATATAGATATTGCAAATATTGCAAAGGGTGGTTTTTGTTTCGAGTGTTATTGATATTACAACAACTTTTAGGTTTGAACAGATAGGAATTTCTTTCTAGAGGTAGTAGTTATTGACCAGGATATACATACGCCGTCACTTGCTTTATAGCACTGGTTTCCAAACTGGGGGGCGCACCCCCCTTGAGAGGCGTGTACACATTGCTGGGGAGGCGCAGGCAGTTATTACGAAGTAAAATTTTTATTTATTAAATTATATTTATTTTAAAACTTAGAGAAAAAAAATATCAATATTTTACAATTTTAGGAGGGAGAGGCGCGAGACTTTCGAAAATCTACAAAGGGGACGTAGAATAGAAAAGGTTGGGAACCACTGCTTTATAGTAATCTACAATTTTTAGTAGCGTATTGATAGTTATTTATATTAGGAGGAGATTTGTTTTGTTTTAGATTGTTCTCTTCAAGACATATTGCGATTGGTTGATGTAAATTAATTATTCATTTCATTTCATCTATATTTTTTTTGTAATCCGCTCAGATTCCATTGTATGATGTTTGTTTGTTTTGACTGCATTATTGTTCATTGATTAAGGTCTTGTTTAGTAGTTTGGCGCTTATATTTCTAATTTTAGGTCGTATTGAATCCATGATTTCAATAGTTTCATAGTTTATTATATTGTACAGTTCTAATAATGGTGTTGTATCGAGTGTGCAGAATGAATTTTCTATAGTATATTTTAATTGGTCGTAATTGATTTTTGGGTTTGAGTTTGTTGAAAAAATGAGTTTCGCAGGTTCAAGGATTTCATTGAGTTGAATTACTATTTTCAGTAGTAGAGTTTGTGCTTTTGATTTTTTTGGGGGATGATTGGAATGTTTTAATTATGTCTGTATTTGTAGTATCACTTGATTCAATATTTTTATTTTGAGATAGTGATGTAGGATGGGTTTTTTGTTGCTGTTGTTTGTATTAATGATGTAGAGGAGAGTGCTGGTTTTTTTTCAAAGTTATTTCAGATGTTACTTAATTGTTGCTTTGTGGGAGCTTAAATGTTTCTAGGTTTTTTAAAAATTGATCTTGATCAGCGAATACTCTATCTTGTGGTTCTCAATATATGTATTAGTTGATTTTTGTTTTAGATTGATTATTGTTTGTTCTGTGAAGTTGTTTCAGTTCATAACTGAAGATGTGCCATTGGTAATATTAGATTGAATATTTGGTAATTCTGTTGGTTTATTCTTACATTGTTTAGATTTATGCCCAATTAGTTTGTATTTATAGCAAGAAAGAGTGTCATTAGTTACAAAAATGCGATATGGTACACTATCATGCTTTATTAGAATAAAATTTGGCAATTTACTAAAATGTTCTGGGTTTATATAAACTTGACGTAAGAAGCTAAGGATTTGTGATAATTCTTCTGAATTAAAACCGGCATTAATGCATGTTATCGGAGAGACTAATTGAATATCATATTCTTGGAGACAGCTTTTAATGTCAGCGTGTGGGATGGCAAGTGACATGTTCGATAATATTATTCTTTATGCTGGATTTACCAGTCTAGTTATCTTAATTGATTGTTCGTTTAATTGAATAAATTGGTGTTTTTCGATTAATAGGTCTTCGGTGTTTTTGTGAATTGGATAAATGCAGAATTGATTATTAGAGATATGTGAAATGCATTTTATATTTTTCGGTGGTATTAGTTTGCTTATAGCTATAACGTATTCGATTTGAGGAATATCATTGATTGAATCGAAAACAATTGCTTGATTTTTTTTTTGAGGAATGTTTTGTTTTGTATAGTTTCTTTTCCCATTGAATTTTTATTGTTACCACTCTGTATATCTTGTACTGGAGTCGACATTAAATTTTTAACATTCTATGTGTTATTATCGTTATTATTTGCAGTGTTAATTTTAGCATTGGACTTTGTTTCAGTGATATTGGAAGTGTTATTAGAGTACTGTGATGTGGTGGACGGTTCATTAAGTATATCACTGATTGAATTGATATGAGTATTATTTGTATTCAAATATTGTGTTATTTTTAGTTTGCGGTTTCACGAAACACCTCTTAGTGAGTATTTTAGATTTTTGAAACTTTTCGCCAATGTTGTTTTGCTGGTTTAAAATTTTATTTTAGAGTGAGGGGAGAAAGGAAAGAAAAAGTTCAGATTCCTTGTATTAAGTATTAATTAATTTATAAAACAAACGAAAAGACTTAAGTGGATACATTTTTATACTTATCGATCTTTTGCAAACCGTAAATTAATTAGGATTAAAATTATTAATAGGGTAATTTCTATGTTTACTATTTAAATTTTTTCTTTTGAGTTTTAAGTAGACGCAGTGCAGTGCCATGTCAGGTGAAATTAAAATTTTTATTTACCTTAATATAGGTTATTAAATACCAAATTGTTTGATTTAATCAAAATTAAGTTACAAAATAAACATTGAAAGACGAGTTTTTATCTATCATAATATAAGCTTAAAAAGTATAAGATAAAGCAGACAAGCCATGGTTTCTAAAAATGATAAAATTAATTGAAATCTGTTTTGAACGGATATCTTATATCTATGACGCAAAGTAATATAATATTGTATTTAAAATTCAGTAATTCATTATTTGGTGAGTTTTCTATAAAATATTAATAAAAAACGTGGTGGATCAATTTAATAAATATTTACATCTTTTAAGTTAAATTAATGTATCATAAATCACTGATTTTACACATCATTAGACTTGAGTGTACTATGGACTACAGTTTGATTGAAGCATTATTTTGTTTTCTAATTTATTATATGTCATGCGATTTGAAACGTTTTAAAAGTCATTGATGAATAACTGTTTAAATATTTTTTACAAGTGTTAATTTCTTAGAATAAAAATAAGGAACCATCAACAATGTATTTTTTTATGTTTATTGTTGTAGACATTCGTTTGATCTTTCTTTGTACTACTTTAAATTTGTAATGTGCATACAAAAAAAAAAATAATAATAATAATAACCTCGTAATATAAAGTTAGTACCTAGTTAAGTGAATTAGGCAACAGAAATTTCCTTATTTTTGTTTTTTATTTTATTATATGATTCATCGGTACTCTGAAATAATAAGTTCTTATAATTAATGCTAAGAAAAATCAAAAAATGGAATATTGATGAAAGTTATTTGATTTCGTTTTATTTGCGGGAATAAAATAAGCTAAGGTTTACGATTATTTTATAAATTTAAAAAAAATTTGACGCATATTACGTTGTCAATTGAAAACAAAAAATGGAAATATTCCATTTATAATTGGAAATTGCTTATTTGAAATCCAATTAACGAAAAACAGAATACGATTTATTTTACTTCAAAAAATTAAAACATTTTTAATTGTTAAAACTGTAAGTTTAAACAACAAAACAAAATATTGTTGTATACGTATTATTAATTATAACTAGTTCACTTATTATAATTTATTTAATCATCAGACGTCGCAAATATAAACTCAGAAATAAAGTAATGCTTATTTAGGTAAAAATATATTATGCCCAATAAATTATTGTAACAAACATTGATCAAAATTTTTCAAGCTTTAATTACCTATCACATCTAATTAGTTTAGGCAAACTATCGAATCATGTAATTATTGCTTACTAAAATTACTTAGGACATTTTACAAAGTTGAAAATATTAATTATAAAAATTAGTTATTGTTAGGGTAAAATAAAGAAAAAAATTCTGTATAGTATATATTATTATGTTTAATACATACAACAATTTATGGATACTATATTCATTTACATAGCATTAATTAATTGAATTAGTTTTTTTTTTTTTTATATTGCGTGTGTATTTTTAAACATAATTTTTATCTCAGTCAACTGCTAGTTATTTAGAAAATAAGTATAGTTTATAATAATAATAATAATAACATAAGTTATGTGAATGGACAAATCGGAAAAAAATGGCAAAAATACAACCATGCACGATAGACACTAATTTTTTAGTATAATTGTCGTATCGTTTTTCGGTTAAATATTAAATTTATTGTATTACGACTTGGTCTACTTTGAATATAATTTGAATAAGTGCATCAAACACTAGCTAAATAAATAAAAAAAAAAAATGATGTAGTACTACAAATTCTGGATAAAAAATCCACCTAAAAAAAACTTAAATTATATGAGCTTTATATTTCATTAGTATTCTTATTCGTTTTTTTTTCTTTTTATTACTTAGCTTTTGACATTTTATTTAATTTATATTGATGGGTACTAGCCAATATAAATTAAGTAAACTGTACTTAATCCATTTAAATAGATATTTCAGTACTTAAAAATATTTAATACAACTGAAAATGTCTTGGAATCTATTTCATTTAATACACGAATTAAATTAGATTAACTTTATGACGTGTACCGTAATTATTAAATTGTTGGTGGCTTATATATATTTTATGAACTATCGAAAATTGACTGGCGAATGACAAATCACGTATCACGATATTTAATATTATTATTGTTATGACCATGGCTATATTATTGCGTAACAGTACCTAAAATGAACAAAATATCGAATAGAACAATTTTATTGTTATACGGCACCCGCGCTGGTTTTTATTTTCGCGGGGGTTTTTCTTTCCGGGGTGTGCTTAGTATTTTTTTCGTTTTTTCCCGTCAGATATTTTTTCTGGTTTTTTTCCGCCCACTACCGATATCACACGCTACATTATCCGGATATACCCATACCATATGCCTCGCGTCTCTATTCCCAACAGTATTAGCCTTTTTACAGACTCGAACCAACCGAACCGAACCGCGTGTTCGGACTCGTATCTACCTTCGAATGTGTACACACAGACGCGATTCACGATAGGTCACGGGTCAAGGGATATCGATCGATCCGCCACACCACAATCACAACAACCGCCCCGACAAGACAAGACAAGGCACTGTACGTCATTATTACCATAAACACCACGTGCAGTTGCACGTGCACTTGACCCCTACTCTAGGAGCTAACGTTATGCCTATGTAATGATGGGCGAGACACTTTTCGACTAAAAACGTACCCTTCCCTTTTCGGCCGATTCACTTTTCGACCAATTTTTGAAAAAGGTCGATTTCCTTTTCGACCAAAAACGTACCCTTCTCTTTTCGGCCGATTCACATTTCGACCAAAAAAATATTATTAAATAATAATTATAAGTCTTTATGTGGAAAACATAATTTTTGTTAGTTATTTTTAAATATAGTAGTAGGTTACAAATAAATAATATTAAAAAATGTATAAGTCATAATTCATTTTTTTTTTTTTTACTCACTTTTGTTAGCACTGTTTAGGTTAGGTTGCTGGTTCACTACTTTTTAAAGTAGTTATTTGAAACCAACTTAACAAAAATCATACCAACAAATATAAAATTATACGAATATTTACTTTTAGGTAATTATAAAGCATAGCTATATATTATACTGTATCTGTCGAGTTGTCCGTTTTGATAATCCATGATGTATTTTTCATTTTTCAATAACATTAATATTGTATAATATATTAAACTTTTTTTTTTTCTTTGGTCGAAATGTGAATCGACCTTTTTGAAAATTTGGTCACGTCTTGTTGGTCGAAAACGGCCGTGCCCGTAATAATATTATTATTAACGTCATACTAATGTCGTTTAACGCGACGGTGGCGGGTGACGACGACGGCTCCGTTCGTTCGTCGTCGTCGTCGTCGTCGTCGTCGTCGGTTTTGGCGTGTTGCAGGCGTGGAGTTCGTGCGCGATTGCCCCCGCGAACCGCACATACCCGTGTACATGATCGTGGGCGGCATATTCGGCATGATCAAAATGGTGTGGCTGCTGTGCCGGCAGGTCAAGTCGCTGCGGTACAACAAGCGCCGGCGGCCGGACATGGGCACGCGCGAGGACATGGTGTCGTCGATGGGGTCGCGCATAGCGTCCGTCGGGCTGGCCGCGTTCCTGGCCGGTTGGTTCGCGCTGGGCAACTATTGGATACTGTCCGTGTACTGGCCCGACTCGGAACCGTCGTCGCTGTACGAGCCGAACGGCTGGTGCAACCGGACGCTGTACGTCACCAGCCTCGTCCACCTGGCGCTCGTGTACGCGGCCGGCGCCGTCGTGCTGGTCGCCGTCGTGGCCGTGCTGGTGTTCCAGCGGTGCGCGTTCCGGTTCAAATAGCATACGGCCACCACGGCGCTGTACGGCTGCCCCCACGGCCACCACAACAGCCGCCGCATGACCATTACCGGCATATTGCCGTACAGCGCCATACACATCAGCGTCACCAGGCCCGTCGACGACGTGGCCCTCTAGAGCGTCGCGGCCGCCGCCCGTCTGCCGACTTCTCGACCGCCGATGCCTCGGACGGCGGTCGTCTACGCGGGTTGGCGAGCGTGGCTGCTGCAGTGTCGTGTGATGCATCGTCGCGGTATTGTGCAGATGCGCTCGGCGGCTCGCAGCGGCTACAGCGTAAGTATAGGGACGCGTCGCTGCACCGTTCCCGCGACGTTCCAAACACGTGCATTTACGAGTTTTCCAGTACAACGATTCGACGCACGATCGTCTGTACGCCTCTCATCCCCCTCCTCATTCCCTTCCATCACCCCGTCCCGAGTACGCGAGTTCTGTTTTACTTCGGTAACGCGGTGGATCGTCGAACGGCGACGACGAGCAGCGAGACGACCCGGATTATTGTACTGGAAATCAAAACTCATTTACGGTTACAGATATTATCATGTATTATAAAATGTATATGTATTATTATTATGATATCATTTGTTGCGACGATTTTAAAATTAATATTATTTCATCTCGAATAATGACGTGCAAAACCACAGAACTCATCCTGTGCATTTGTGCGCGGCGGTGCCAAGATCCCGCCACGGCCGTATCGGCGTTCGCGGTTTTAGACTAAACTCGCGGCAAACGCCTCTTAATCGGATAGATTACGGTTGAGAAATCTACAAAGATTATAATTGTATATGACGTCGTGTACTTTGCGTGTACAGTGTAACGCTTGCTGGTTGAGTGTCATTCGTAAAGGCGTCCTTTGTGTGTTCAACTACGTATTAATACGGTCGTCGCATTAATACGATCGTCGCGTCACGCGTCGTTACGCAAAGCCGTCTCGCTCGCATCCATGTTATTATCATTGCCGTTAGGTATTTACCAGAGTGCGGCGATTATGTCATCATATGTGCGACAGTCGTCACGAGTTGTTTCGCTCACCGTCAAACACGACCGATGTGTTTATCACACACGCAGACGCGTATAATTCATTAATTATTATTATCTGTTTCCGCGCCGAGCAACATCATTTATCGGCCTTGTTCTGTACCCGTACGAGCGACCTTTTCCTCCTATTTCTGATTTACGTTTTCCGTCTGCGATCCCGAACGATTATTATATAATTATTATATTATTATTGCTCACAGTTTTCTATTACGATTTGTCCGCGTCCGTGCGGCAGGTACGTTTAGACTGGAGTAGACCCTGCTACGTAAAGTTCAATTGTAAATATTTTGAAATTAAAATAACTTATTTTCGTCGTTCAAACAGTCGAGAAAGTTTTCGAGTTTACGCAAGCGGCGGCGGCGGCGGCGGGTAGAAGAATATTATACGAGTGGGTAGGAGGTATATGCGTAGTTGGATGGCGGATAATATTATAATAATAATATGTAGGTAGGTACAATAAACACGGCGAGATACCAACTTTAACTGTAATTTAACGAATTCGCGTCGCGATAAACGTCGTTTTCCATTCTTGTTGCAATCGCTCAGATAAATGCGTATTTTTTTTCAAAATCCAAAACCATATTATCGTTTGACTTCTATATAGTAATAACACGTAGGCAACACACCGACCCCAATCCTCGTGTCTGCTTGCTTTACTGCTCGCGCGGTGCAATGCTCACTGAAAAACCAAACTTCTTGTTATTCCCACGCCGTACGTTATAGTTTACCTATTATATTATTGTGTTAAAACGTATCATATTATATTATGAGAACACGCGTGCACGTATGCTATTTTATTTGTCGTTCTCGTTCGTTTTGTTCCTTTATTGTTATCGTTATTTTTATCGTATAAATTAACGTTTTAATTATTGAAACCGTTTCGCCCTTTTCGAAATCCTTAATGCTGTACTTAAAAGTTTGGTGCCTAACACGTATTAAACGAACTGAAACCACTCTAAAAATGTTTAAATGCGTTTCGTCGTTCAACCGATTTTATTTCTCTTCGCATTTATATTAGGTATTCAATACGTTTCGATTGATAACCTTATTGTCGTAATATTAAATTTAACGAGTAATAATGCATTTTAACTCATCACACAATGTATAATAATATTCATAATTTTTTTTATCAATAAATATTAAATTATTTATAATTATAATATTATGTTTGAGACATATTATATGAAAACTTCGATGTACCCATTATATATGTAAATACTATACATATTATTTCTATTTAGTTAAAAAATCAAAAAAAAAAAAAAAATCTGTAGATATGGTTCTCGCTATTATTATTGTTATAATTTTAATAAAATTACTGTTTTTCGAAGTATCATATTAAAATATGTATTAATCATATACTAGTTATATACAGTTGAGTCTATAGGAAATATGAATTACTGGATATAATATATTTAACCTTATAATATTTACTGTGAATTTATTCAATGTTCAATATTATTCAAATTTAAAATGCGTTGTTACAATACATATTTAATATAAGTATCGTGCCCTTTTTTTATTGGTTAAAAAGGGCAAAGTAATAGAAAAAAAATCACCTAACATACAAGAATTTTGTACTCATTAAGATTTCGAAACAAATCATTAAGTCCTTTAATGTTTATATTACAATCGTATAGTGGATTTAATTTTATAAGTTTACTCATTATTATTATATCTGAAATAATTTGCCTGGAAAAATACTTTTTCGTTGGTATATCGCATACAATTTAACATAGAATAATATAACTTGTCATTAAACTTTAATTTTTCACTGCTTTTGTAAATCTTGATTATGATATCATAAAATGGTTCAAGTAAACAGTCAATAGGTATTATACTTTACGCTTAAATTAGGCAAAAGTTTTAATTATTGTTGCGTACCATGCGTGATTTGAATAATTATAGTAAGTGGATAGCCTATCAAATTTATTCTGTGAATCTAAATTTAATCATGCATACATTTGTTACATTAATAATTGTTCTACGAGGCGATTATTTTATTAAACTTTGGTTTTGAATGCTTTTGCGAAGTATTGTAATGTTATTATCTCGTGTAATATGCCCATGTTCATATATTACGCACACTGCGTATTCATCGATTATAAATTGTATTATTATTTTCGTGAATGTAATTAACAGAAATAATTCAGTTAGAATTCTCTTAAGAATACGTCTAACGAGTATTCGCATAAATGCAAAACAGATATAAATCATTCTGATTTATGACCATTGGTATCAATGACTAAAAGATTTTAAGTGTTTGGACGTGACATGAGTTAAGTGGAGGACGACAATGGTGGAAGGTTGTGATTTAGTACTTTGTTATAAGCATTAGGTCCCATGGGTTACCTATCCGTTAAAATTATTCGTACAGTCTAAATACGTTTTTTTAGTGTGGTGATTTAGATTGATCTAAGGTTTCGACAACTAAGAGGAGGCGGCTATCCTCACGTGTGTTGTCTCCGTATTACAAGCATACAACATGATACATTTACATTTAAATGTTATTAGCTTAAATATTAGAGTAAATTGATCTATTAACAAAGATAAAGATAAAAACTTTTTTCGATATTTTAATTTTTAAGCAAGATATGAGTATTAATTGTTGTGAATATTATAAGTTAAAAAAACTCATTTCTTGAGCAACCAGTGATTGAGTACAGATAATGTTTTTATTGATAGGAAAGCTATTGATTCTACTGAACGAAAATGTGTTATGTTATATATTTGTAAGGTAATGGCTATACACACGTAAGCGTAGTATTCTCTTAATGTACTTTTTTATTGTAAAATTATAACAATGTATTTAGCATTAGGTAATTTTCATTTTTTGTGATAATATACATAGGTAATTTTGTATATGTTTATAATGATAACCGTTTTTAAATTTTGTGTATAGAAACAAGTTATGAAATAGGCCATGGTGATTGAAAATTCTTATTGATTTACTCTTAAAATGTGATATCAAAGAAATATAATTTGCAGTAAAAAAAAATATTCAATTTATAAAAACAACAAATTTCTTCCTGTCAAACAAAAATAAATTTGTGATAATAAATTAAACTTTTATCATTATTTTTATTTTTTAATATTTTCAATGAATTTTTATGTTGTATCATTATTGAGTATTACCGATGAAATTAAATTTGGTTAACTGTTAATGGTATTTTAACGTTAACAATATTATATTATAGTTTTTAATAATTAACCGTTTAAATTAGGCATATTAAAATAAATTATTTTAACCTTATGTTATATCTATTATAGGCTTACAACGAAGTCCAATTAATTTATACAAGCTTTTAATCAAAACCAATGAATCTAATGTCAAGAGTTCTGTTAATGATAATATATTAGTCACAAAAAGTGTTATTCTTGTTTTTGAAAATGATAACAAGTTTCTTTATAAAATGGTTATCAATGAAAGTGTATCCTGCAGTAATTCTCAACTAATATAGTCTTGTTCTTAAAAATAATGCTGAGACTATAATTGCAGATTATAGGTACATATTATATATATAAATAAAACATTTAAATCGAGTTCGGGATAAAAGACTAAAAATTGAAATTGTTTCACATCATTGTATTTATTATTTATCTTTGAAAAGATTGACATTTTATAACCAAGTAATCTAATTTCCAAATATCTTCTCCGTCCGTTAATGCTTAAATTGATGTTTTTTTATTTGTGTTTTCTATAGAAACATGTCCCTATCTAAAGGAGTGACAATAATTTTATTTATTCACTATATACCGGTGTTTAAGTTTGAAATTAACTCGGTCGCTCTTCCAGTGTCGATAGACACTAACAATGAATTATTGTCCTAATGTAAAAGACAAATCCCTGTATTTTGCTGTCCCCTTGGGTTTTCGATATTTTTAACAATTCGTTTCAATTTTCTTTCAAAAGCTTCCTACTTTATACCGTATGCAATTGTATCCAAATTTAAAGACAATATGTGAAATCAAAAAAAAAAAGAATCTTTCAATGGTGTTGACACATCAATGAAAACACAAAAAAAAAATTAGTGTTTATAAATTATAATTAAAAGTGGTAAAGTATTATTTTATAGGATTTTAATACTTTAAAATTAAAATTAAAACTAATAGGAAATTTATAATCACCATTTATTTATATTTGTATGCATCTGATCTTCCAATAACAAATAGTTTTTAAACCAAATTTTATTTCTTTATTACAGTTAAATACTTAAAAATAATATGATTTATTTTTAAAATTTTTTTATACGATCATGTCCATTAATTATTTTTAGAATCGTGGATTTCTATTGAATTCTGATCGGTAATATCTACACGAAACATGAGGTTTATGTTTAAACTTTTGTGTTTCATACAGATTACACAATTAACAATATTATGAATGCTGGGACCAAAATAAGAGAATTTATAAAATTCAATTGAGTCTCTGTAGAATAAACTGTACGTATTAAATAACATTTCCTAAACCAATTCTAACCATATCATACTAAACGGTATCAAATATGTAATTGTATCATCTATTATGAAAAATAGTCTAATTTTTTTCTTTTTAAGTTTTATATTTTTGGCATACATATTGTTCTATACCTATGTTTAATAATAAATATTTTTAATTTAATTATGTTTACTTTGATTTAATGTATTTCAATTTAATGTTATTTTAGCCTATAATTATATCACGAATATTTAAAAAAAATAATATAATTAAAATACTTCGTATTGAATTCCAAAAAAATACCTACAAAATAAAAATTAATACTTAAATATTGAAATTATTTTTAAAAATATTATCATTTTTGTTCAAATAAATTATTTTAAAATTTTTAACACTTATAAAAGATTTCAACAAATTTTATGTGATTTCATGTACAACGGTTTTTATGGCTATGAAATTTGAAGATATTATATAATGAATAATGAAGGTCATAACTCATAACATAAGAACTCTTATAATACTAAAGATCTTCGCATGAACTTTTATAAAAAAAAAAATAAAATCATTAATATTAAGCCGTATACTATATTGATTTTTTTATTTTTGTGCAAACTTAACCTAATTTTTGTTCAATATACCGTATTATATTCGTTATTTACTATAAAAATATTTTAATAATGCCATAAATATTTACTAAAATGGGTAGTTAAAACAAAACATATATTAAAAACTATCAATAATTTTTTTGTTATATATTTAGACGATTTTATATTATAAATACAAATATACTTGATAATTCTCTACATTTTTAAAATTATTAAAACATTCATTTAAAATATCGTTTATACGTTATTCAATAGGTAGTTCTTTTAACATATTATATTTTAGTATCATAATAATAATTATAAACAAAAATTTATTATAATTGTCGTAGAAAAATGAAATGAAATAATATATTATGTAAATACCTACTTTGTATTAAAACATACTATATGGTATAATACCAATATTATGATTTTGTCTTATATAATATAAATTAAGTTTACGTAGGTAATTTCATCTCAAGATCAATAAGTTGAACATAATATAATGTAAAGTTTATATAGGTTTATAAAATAATTAATATGCCGTTTGATGATAGTTCACACATTAGTAATCGTCGTTGTATACTTATTAGTATAGCCAGTTAATAACATAGATCAAAAATATTTTCAGACTAGATTCATAAAGGATACAATATAAATAACTAGATAAAAATATATATATTACAATCAAGAGTAATAATTTTTTTACATTCATGTGTATCGTAAAAAAAAATTGGCTTGAAATGAAGAAATACAATACAAAAACCACATATAATAACATTTTTCATTGGCAAAAAAAATTATATGTTTCAATTAATAAAATATGTGCAATTCACTATAATATAGTAGTACTGGAAAAGACAGAATATAATAATAGGTAATTAAAAAAAAATCTTTGAGTTCTCTGTAAGCTAAAGCTATATTATATATATTACATTGAGTAAAATGTTGTATATTATATGATATAATCAAAATTATTGTCTTAGCTTAAAATATAATAATTGGGACTTCTCATATAACATTAATTTATAGATATAATTAAGAAA